ACTTTTGGTAAGGGGGGCAGGGGACAATCTTGGTGTCTTTCCTCTAGCTGCCTCCTCTGTTTACCAAACTAGATCCCTGGCATGTAAACACTTCTGGGCTTTTGAGATCCCTTTGGCCATCTGGTTTCAATTAGATAGCTTATCTCCATTGAACGGCCTTCTTACCGGCCTTCTTACCGGGTGGAAAACAGGACCAGGTCTTGAGCATGCTGCTGGCAGCCAAGGTATCTGGTGCTGTGAAGAGATACAGAATGACAGACTTGGAAGGGACCCTGGAGGTCTTCTAGTCCAACCCCCCTCTCACGCAGGAAACCCGATACCATTTCAGACAGAAAAGGGGCAACACGCATTAGGGCCGTCCTGAAGAGTCCTGTTTATTTTCATTTTTTTTATACAATTTGTCCAGCATCTTTGAAGTCTAGGTACTCGAGGAGATGCAGCAAAGGCTTTTAGGTCAAGCCATACGATTGCAGTATGTGGCAGGGAGGATAAAGGTAACAGTAGAGCTTCCAGCCTGTGAACCTCCTGCTATAAGTGAAATAAGTCGGTGCCCTCACCTGCAGCTAAATGCCAGCTGAAGTGGCGCTAAAGTCTTTTTCCATTACTAAGAACAGAACGACCTTCTTCGCTGAATCGTGGCAACGGAAGGTGGGCTTTCTTAGGCAGCTCAGAGGAAGCTGCATGACATAATTCTCTCCCCTATCAATCTGTTGCCCCCCCCCACTCAGCAGCGATCAGAAAACTTAGGAAACTGCCTTGCTAGGACTGGCCCTTGCAGGTTAACAGCCAGTTACAGACACAAGACCAGGAAGGGTCTCTCTCTCTCTCTCTCTCTCTCCCTCCCTCCCTCCCTTCCTTCCTCCTTCCCCCTCTGCCTCCTTCCCCCCCTCCCCTCCCTCTCCTTGAGTGCTAACTTATCTCTAAAATCACTTTTGGATTTTGCTACCAGACGTATGTCAAAAAGTTCTGTCCAGTTATGAATGGAGAAGGTTATTTGCTTCAGCACTCCATTATTCCTTCTGGAGCTGGAATAAAAATTAACCAGATTGGTTTTCATCAGACTTATAAAACTTTCCAGAAAAGACACTGGCAAACCACTTTTCTTTTTTCTGTTGCCAAGAAAATTGCAGGGATGTGTTCATGAAGTCACCAGGAGGTGTGTTTCAAGGAAACTTGGTTTTATTCATTTTAGTATTCCTTGCATTATTAATTCTAGGATCCTTCTTTCTTTCTTTCTTTCTTTCTTTCTTTCTTTCTTTCTTTCTTTCTTTCTTTCTTTCTTTCTTTCTTTCTTTCTTTCTTTCCTCCTTCCTTCCTTTCCCCCCTCTCTCCTCCCTCCTTCCCTCCCTCCCCTGCACAAACTACCACATCCATTTACTTTCCTTTAAAGCAGGAAAGACAAAATGACAGCATAACACCAAAAGAGAGAAAGAGACAAGACGGGGCTGCTAGCCTCTTAATTCCTTCCCTGGGTAGCTGAGCCTCTTCAACCTGTTGCCCACTAACAGTGCCGGAAGCCTGTTCTGATCGGGCATTTTGGGTTGTGCAACCTATTGGCCCACCTTGGGGCAAACCTGAGGACAGACCCACAATGGATGCCCGTGATTTCAGAGAGCCGAAAGGGTTGGGAGCATAGACCAGAATGCCAGGGGCAGTTTGAGTTAACCCTGGCTTAGGGTGCCAAAGCCACCATTGCTCAATCATTCTGCCAATGCGAATCTTCCCATTGGCGGGAGGTGGCGCCATTGGTCAACGTGGCCTAAAGACATCACCTGCCCTTCACTGGCACCACAGAATCCAGCCCGGGGCTGCCTCTGCTTTAGTCTAAATCCTGAATTTGTTGCTCTGGGAAGACTGTTGCATGTTGGCCTTTGTGCCCCCCCCAAAACAAAAGGCTGGATTTGCATCACCTGCTCAGATAGAACGGGGCTAGGTTATTCCTGGCACAGCCCGAGGTGTCTAACTAAGGGGCTTGAACTAGAAGACCTCCAAGGTCCCTTCCAATCTATTCTTCTGTTATTTCTGTTAACCTACCCAGCCTGTTAAATTAGCCTGTTGGTTGCTTTCTGAGCACAGGATATTTTGCAAACGGGGGCTTGAGGTCTCCTTAACCTTGGGCTTAACTCAGCCGAAGAGTCTTAAAGCTCCTTCAGTTTATGAATGTAAGGAAATGCCACCTTTCTGGGCTTTTGCATTGAGTGGGATAGTTGTCTAACCGCATTCACCCCACCCCAATCCTCCTCTGGGCTCTTCTTCATTCATCCAAAACAGCTTTCCTTTGAGGCTTGAACGCTGAGCCGGCTTGTTTTTCGGAGCAACTGGATTCAGTGCCAAACCATCGGTCCCTTCTTCTTATTTTCTTTGTTAATTTCTCTCCCGTGAGTCATCCTTCCAAAACACAAGGAGGCGAAATGCAAACTGCTGCCCTTGAAGACCTGTTCACATGACTTCTAGGCAGTCCCCCATTTGCAACCTTTCATTTAGTGACTCTTCGATGTAACAACGGCAATGGCGGTTTTTCACACTTACCCCACCCCCCCTTGCAGCCTCCCCACCGTCACTTGATCAAAATCCGGACATTTGGCCACTGGCTTGTATTTAGGACGGTCGCAGTGTCCTGGGATCACGGGATCACCTTTTGCAACCTTCTTGACAAGCAAAGTCAACAGGGAAGCCGGATTCACACAAGAGCCAAGTTGCTAGCTGAACTACTGCCGTGATTTCCTTAATCGCTGTGGCAAGAAAGGCGGTAAAACGGGGCAGAAACTGCTTAACAGCTGCCTTGCTTAGCATTGGAAATGGAGGGCTTAATTGTGGTTGTAAGTTGTGGACTATTTGTAGTTAGGTGAGAGTAGGGGTGTCCGCAGGGCATGGTCAAAAGAGCGAAGATGGGGGTCCATGAGGGTGTTATCATTCATCAATCACAGCCAGTGGGGAGATCTTCAAAGACCTCCTCTCTACCTTGGGATTCCCTTGAGCAGGGGTCTTCAAACTTGGCCCTTTGATGACGTGTGGACTTCAACTCCCAGAATTCCTCAGCCGAGGAATTCTGGGAGTTGAAGTCCACACGTCATGAAAGGGCCAGGTTTGAAGACCCCTGCCCTTCAGTCTTGCCATTTTCCAGCTGCAAGAGAGTAGAGAGATAAACCCAGGATGAAGGAATGGAACCATCCTGGTTTACAGGAGTGTCTAAAAGATCACCACCATGGTGAGACAAAAGCTTTGTTGGCTTATGGGTTGTGAAATTTTGTGCCTGACCCAGGGGAACAGCAAGTTCGTGTCTTGCTCTGCTCTGCTGTACATTGCGTCAAAGGTCCTTGGGCCGATCTTCTTTCTTGTGGCTTCCTTCCCATGCTATATATGTATCAAAAAATGCACGAACATAGCAAAATGCTCCCTGCAAATCTGCCTTTTCACTCACTAGCATATTATGGTACAGTTATGCAACTTTCAGCTAAAGGAGAAACGCTTTCTTGGCTCTCCAAATCCACGCGGCACAGGCATTCTACTTTGTCATCAGAAAAGTTGAACACAGCCAGACTCTTTCACACAATCCTAACTACTACTACTACTACTACTACTACTACTACTACTACTACTACTACTACT